ACATACATATACATACATACGCATACGCATACGCATACGCATACGCATACGCATACGCATACGCATACGCATACACATACGCATACGCATACGCATACGCATACGCATACGCATACGCATACGCATACGCGTATACATTTACATTTACATCTACATATACATATACATATACAATATACAATGTACATATACATAGATGCATGTTGCACCCGGGGTGGTTCTTGGCTCCTTTTCCTCCAGGTGGCGGCATTCATTGCCTGGCCGAAGCGCTCTGCAGCTGCCTCCCCAGAGAGGGGTTTAGGAATATTGTGGTGGGTTCCGTTTACTTAGTTTCCTTAGCGGCTGTCCTAAGCCTAGAAACAAAAGGTGCAAGCTGCAAAAATGCATGACTGTAGCTTTAGGCCAGTCGCTGCGGGAAACTGTGCTAGGCGGCGCAAAGCTTACCTAAGAGCAACAAAACGCACATGAACAGAAAACACGTAGCTTTCGGACTTCGGGCTTAGGGCTCAAGGTTGAGGATTCGGCAAGGCTTATGTCCTTCGGAAGTTGGGGGTTCGGGTCTCTGCCGGGCTGATTCGTCGGCTTGTTGCGGGTTGTGGAAATCTACCTCCACACCTCCGTGCTTTGGCACCCAGAACCAGCCGTCGGCTAAAAGGGCTAGACCTCTAAACCCTAAACCCTAAGCCCTAAACCCTAAACCCCCAAACCCTACACCCCTAAACCCAACAAAAAGTTTCGGCCCGTTTGAAGGGGTTGGGAAGCTGGCGGCCCACGTTTGGTGCAGCCATGTTGAAACACCGGAACGAGGGTTTAGGGGCTGTCATGAGGTTTGAGGGTTTGGGTTTAGGGTTGGAGCGAGGTCTCGGGCTTAAGGTTTAGGATTAGGAATCAGGCACCACTGTGGAACTCCAGTAGGTCTTGGCTCAGTGCACGTATAAGGGGATTTCTGCTCTCAATGAGGAGCTTCCTGCAGGTCTCACCTGTTTCATTCGTCAATTCTACACATCAACAAACACGATAGAACGAATGTTAGCAGTCAGTTCAGCTCGTCTTGCAAACCTCCGCACCAGATGTGCTGAGGAAGCTTGCTACAGCTCGCTTCCAAGCAAAACGTGTCAAGAGCAACAACTGACGGCGCATCCTGAAGGTGTTCACCCAATGTATGAACTCACGAAAGCAATAGACACGGCTGCTACGATCACAGTACCTACAACTCCCGCATCAAAGTGGTGGCTCTTCGGCCATTAGCTCACTGGGGTTTAGGGGTTTGGGGTTTAGGGATCGGGCTCAGGGATTTAATTTGGGGGTTGGGGTTCAGGGCTTAGGGAAAGTTTATGGTTTAGGGTTTAGGGTTGGCTTAGGGAAAGTTTAGGGCTTAGGGTTTAGGGGAAGTTTAGAGTTTAGGGTTTGGGGCCCCTCAATCCGTACGAGTGTGGCAACACGGGAAGGAAGCTGTTGAGTGCACAGGGGCACGTTGGGCTTAGGATTCAGCGGTTTAGGGGTTTAGGCTTATAGGAGGAAGCACTTAGAGCAACAGCAGCTTCAGCGAACTGTTACGCCCTGTTTTGGCGCTTGCACCGTCTCAGGCAATGCCTACAACTGAATAATTTCATCAGAATGCTAAGGCCCAAACCCTGAACCAAGAATCGCAAACCTTAAACTTTGCCTTCAACCCCACATCCTGAAGAAAACTCGCGAAAAAAAACTAGCTAACCCTAACCTCCACCCCAAATCTCCCTCCCCTAAATTCCCAAACCCCTAGACCCCAAAACCCCCAAGACCGAACCAAAGCGTTCTGGGCCTCGGCAGCCAGCGTGCTTTTTCCTGCAGCAGGAGGGCCAAAAATCCACAGCGCCTGCAGGGACGAAAGCAGACACCGTTGAGCTAAACCCCTAAACCCTAAACCCCTAAACCCCTAAACCGCTAAACCCTAAACCCTAAACCCACTAAATCCCTAAACCCGTAAACGCTGAACCCCAAACCCCTAAGCCGCACTTAACAGAGGCTCCTTCAAGCTATGGGTCCTGGCTGCCTGGCAACACCGAAGGGCTATTGAGCCTTGCCACGCACAGCTATAGATGACACAGGGTTTGGGGGTTTAGGGTTTAGATTTAGGGTTTAGGGTTTGAAAAAACGGTTTGATATTATGTTGGTTGCGATGCTCAGTTTTGTCAATATCACTCTACTGTGAATATTCTTGTCACGGACGTACTTCTGTCGCCTGCACCCCAGGCCCCCCGCATCTTAACCCAAATCTTAACCCTAAACCCCCGGATCCCGGACATCAGGCAGCCTTCGGGCGGGCAGATTCCGGCACATGTTCGGCACGGAGGAGCCCGACCTGGAGCAAAAAGAGCTTCGGACTTGGACGGCGTACCTTAAATCCTAAACCCTAAACCCTAAACCCTAAGCCCTAAACCCTAAACAGCGAAATCGGGTACTACCCAAACCCTGAACCCGAAACCCCAAACAGGAAACCCTAGAAGTGCTTAGGGTTTATGGCTCAAGGTTGCGGGTTTTCCAGTGCAGCGTGGCGCACAGGTCAACTTCCCTCATTAAGGGAGCTGCCCGAAGCTGCAAACCGAATAAGACTCACGGAAACGGTTCGAAACACAGATTCGATAGCTGTTTCTGATGCTTGCGCTTTTCTGGGCGCGCTGTTGTTCGGTTCTTGGCTCCATGCCAGTTCCATTTCCGGGATGCCAAAAGTGACTTCAAAAGTGAGCTAAGCCAATTATCGACTCCGCTCCATGCAGCCACATTTAAGCTTTTGATCAGATTCCATTTCAGCGAATTTCGGCGGTTCTCAGCCAGGCTTCTCATTCCTGCCAGATTTTTGGTGTTTTCCGATCGATAGTTCGTGTTTTGGCCAGAATTCGGCAATTCGCCAACATTTTGGTGATGTCCACCCAATTGTGTTGCGTGATTCGGGCCAGAGTTTGGTGTATTTTGGTTTTGTGGAGATCCAACCAAATTGATGGTATTTCTTGCCAGATTTGGTTTAATTCTTGCGGTTTCCGCGCAAGTTTCCGCAATTTCTGCAAAGTTTTGTGGTTTTGCTAGATTTCACTACATTTCGGTGTGCACGACAGATTTCTGCACAATTTCAACATGTGGACTTCCGACCACGTTTCGCAGCTCTTATTGATGTGCCCAAACGTTCTTGCAGTGCCCTCCCGTCTAAAGGCTTGTGTGCTTCCAACCCTGTATTCAAGCCGATTTGTTTGGCCCCTTGATGCCGACTAACGATGTAAGTATATTGGTTTGACTTGCAGATTACCTTGCTCATGATAAATCAACCCACACCATGCTGCGCTGGCGCGACGGCACAAGCCCCAACAGTTTATAGGGCCTTTAAAGGGGACCCTATTATAGAACCCGAGTACCCTCAACGGGGATCCTTCTACAGAACCCTAAAGTACCCTCGAAAGGGCATCCTATTATAGAACCCTATAGTGCCCTTTATAGTGCCCTTTGAAGGGCGTCCGTGAAGCCCCGAAAGCCCCCTGCCTGGCTGTAGATCCTCTCCTTCTCCTCCTCGGTGAAAGGCTGGCTCCTCAGCACAAAGCAGGGTCCCACAAATGACCCGAGACTTTAGGGATCAAGGGTTTAGAGTTTGGGGTTTCGGGGTTTAGAGTTTAGGGTTTAGGGGTTCAGGGTGAGTTTAGGGATCAAGGCTGCGGGCTTTGGGGCTTTAGGCTTTAGGGTGCAGGGGCATCTAGCCCCTTAGGAACCCCACACTCAACAGGCTTCCCAAAAATACCATCCTAGCATTCTTCAGCGACGCTGTAATTTGCAGTTGCACCAGAAACTGTTATCGCGCTTCCTGCCAAGCGAAACCGCAACTCGTCCTTTTGCTTGAAACGGCGCTTGTGCCTTCCAACCGTATCATGTTTCCTGACGAAGAAAAGTATGGCAAACAGAAGGTCCAGAAGTCCTTGACCCGAAACTGTAAATGCAAGAAGCTCTGCAAAATGGGTAGTACTAGAGACACACGGAGTTGGAGGACCATAGTCTTCACAGACACTCATGGCGGAAGTTGGCCGTGGCGGCTTCAGAATTCCCTAGCCCTCGCTGCTCGCGACATCAACCCTGTACCCGACGTGCCGAGCCGCCTGAAAACTCGAAGCCCGAAGCCCGCAATCATAAAGCTTCAACCCTAAACTCTAAACTCTAAAACCCTAAACCCTAAACCCTAAAAGCTAAACCCTAAACCCAAAATCTTCAGCCATGAGACAGAAGAGGCTTGAGCTCTGCAGGGATCTTACCCCGGGTAATGTGAAAGATCTCGTCGTTCTCCCCGGGCTTGCCCGGCAAGATGATTCCTAGGCACAGGGTCGAGTCTAGGGCCGCCAAGCACTTGGGTTTAGGGTTTAGGGTTTAGGGTTGAGGGTTGAGGATTTAGGGTTCAGGGTTGAGGGTTTAGGGTTTATAGGGTCTAGGGTTGAGAGTTTTGGATTTCGGCGTCACGAGGATTGGTATTGAAACCCTCCGTCCCCACACAACATCCTTGGTGGTCAGTTTAGCACAGCAGCTTCCTCATGATCCGGGTTTGGCTAAGGAATCCGGCGTACCTGAAAGCTCTCCAGTGATCTGAATGCATCCCGAGGCGCGCTCCGTCTGCTGGACCTGGGGCTTGCCGCGAACCCCTAAACCCCAAGCAAAAACCGTTGGAACCCAGCTTTGAGGCTCGAAGACCTGGGCGATGCCTTGATGTAGGAACCTGATTCCGAAACCCTGGCCCTATAACCCCAAAATATTGGGATTATGGGATTCATATGAAGAACCCAAATAAAGACCCAGAGTTGCTTAACTCAAGGTTCATATATTCTAAATCCATTGGCGGAGCCTCCTCTAGAGCCGCCTTCGATGACCTTGCAAAGCCCCATACGGAAGTCTTACGGAGCCCCTATCCGCCCTAAACCCTGAAGCCCTAAACCCTGCACCCGCTAAGGACCTTCAAAGGGCCGGGCTTTCGGACCTCGAAGCTGAAAGCCACAAGTTTTGGGCATGGAAACTTTGCTTGAAAACTTTATGGTAACCCTTTGGCTTGCGAGTGTATTTTGAAGATGTCCCAGACTCAAACTATCGCGCTCTCCTGCCCCAGCTTAGACCTGATTCTTGACCGAAGTTCCATCAAGAACATTTCTTGATGCAATCATGTTTTCCCAAACGTCACAGCCAAAGCCGACATCCCAAGCCCAGAAAATGCCGTGGCAGAGAGAAGTCAAGGAGCAGAGGACACGAAGGCCGATCCTAGAAGTAGTGAGCTTCTTCGAGCGACCATCTCTTGCTGATTGCGGCACATCCTAAACTGCCTCTTCCTCACCTGTACAGAGAGGCCTGAGGGCCAAACGGCAGTCAAGAGTTGAATCAGCGAGCTTCCGTGTCTCGGAAAGCCTTGACCTGAAACCTAACCCCTCCGACAGGCCAGATTTGGATGAAATTCGAGGGGCCATGTCAAGATTCAAGGGTCGGGCATAGAGTTGAAGATTTCGGATGTCGTGTGTATGGTAGGTTCAACACCACTGTTGCTGCTGTTATCATTACTTTTGCCGCTCCCATGATGATTGTTCCAAGCGCTGGGAAACATGAGCCTCTGAGAACGTATTTTGCCACGACGGTTTGTGGCAGCTTATGAGGATCCTAAAGGTCTGACATCGCATGTAATACGTTCTCTTGAAACACCGCAAACACCGCAAACATTCTGAGTTATGCGAAGCTGCAAAGCAGTGTCCGGAGTCGGGACTAAAGATTCGGGGGCGTGGATTCCGTTGCAAGTCCCGTGGTCTCGCGAAGTCGCGAAGGTTTTCAAGATATGCAGAAACCCCCCAAGCTGCTTTTTTCGCTGAGCGCAAAGTAGCGAACGCCACATCCCAATGTAGTCGCAAATGAGCGACCCGAGCCCTTTACATGGGCTGCAAGATATTGGCCGCTCCCACCTTTGAGCAGCACTGCTGTACGACCTTGCACGGTCCTTCTAATGTTCGAGTGTCGACATACGAACGCCGGTCGGCTCGGCGCCACTTCAATTTGGAATGACGAAGCATCCACTGTCTCCACATGCGTAGCTGCGAAAGCTAAAAATGCGGCTTTGGACTAAGGGGCATCTAGGGCTCTGCGGATGCGCAGTGGTTCTATACAAGACAGCGTGAGAGGTAGCTAGGGTACAGATGAACCCTCGTGATTTCTTGTACCCCCCTCCCCATGAGGGCGCCTCCCGCACATGCGGGCTTGCCGCTCCGGAGCCAAGTGGTGATCCGGGCAGTGGAGGCACACCGGCATCCTCTTGCCCCATCCCCTGAGGTTAGGGCAGTCCCGGAATGCATGTGGCGTGTAGTTCTCGCCCACCACGAAAAAATGATGTCGATCCTGGTCCCTGTTGCCGCATTGCCCATTGCCCCAACACGTGTCGCAAAGATGGTTGACTGACACCGACGCGAGGCCGGGGTGGACAGTGCCGCGTGTGGGGACTGGTACAGCTCCCCAAATTCGCTGCGGAGGTAGACGCGTACCGTTCTGCAGTCATCGTCTCCTGGGTCCGGGCCTGGATCTCGCAGGCACTGCCTCAGCTATCCAACGAACGCATGGTCAGCGCTAGCCAGCTTGACAGCACTTCCAGAAAAAGGTGGAACTCTTCTAGCTCTAGCTCGCGAATGCGTCCTTGCCTCATCTCACCATGGTTGATGAGAGGCAGGGGTGGCAA